TTAAGGTACTGTTGAACCGTACGGCCCACTAAAATTTTGTACTCTTGCGCCAGTACGTAATTTTGTATGGTATGCCGCTTAGCCAGTACACACGTACTCTTGAACCGTAGGTGCACCCAATTTTTTGTACTCTTGCGACAGTACGTGATTTTGTATAGTAAATCACCTTGCCAGTACACGTACTCTTGAACCGTACGGCCACCAAAACTTTGTACCAAAGCGGCAGTACACATGATGCTTGTAATCCGCTATTCAAAATGGGGCTTTAATGACCAGCTGCAAGGCAATCTCTGGTTGGCACTGGATCGATATCGGGAAAAAGTGAGGTTGTCACCATATGAATTCTGACTCTCGTGGTCTAGATCAGGAGCAATACATAATACTTTGCATCTTGCAGGCTGCTGCTGCATGTCACATTATTTCAAGTCACAACTTATTAAAAAGACTCGTGGATTTATCTTGTTTCTCCCTTTATAGGTGTGAATTTTCCTAATAATCGCGGCCATGAAAATCCAAAGGCTACTCGTCCAGGTCTGATTCGCCATCATTCTCTGTCATACTGTTGGAATGATTATAGTGAATTGGTCGACCAGCTGTGCAAGGCGTTTTGCTGGGCAGTGCTCAGCATGTCCTCCAGATCGTTGTCGAAAGTCCATCAAGCCAAGACTACAGCCCGCAGATTTCAATTCTTTTGTTGAATATCAAGTATCATTTTAATAGCTACATACCTTTTGTGAACCTGGTCATGGCGGGAGAAGTACAAACCAGCGGGGACCATGGCCCGAGTTGCAGGATCGAGCAATGTTATTTCCATCAAGGTTGCCTGTGACCAAGACAAAGGCAATGTTAGTTATTCCACCGGTCCATTTGCTTTCCAATTGGGTTCAGCAATAATGTTACTGCCTCGTGACAGTTATCAACGATTTCATCTGTCCAGCAGAAAGTCGGCACTGAACATGGTACATGGAAAGGCATTTCCGGAAACGAGACACACCAAATAGACCTTGGATCCTGACCAAGCCTTTGCCTTGCGACTAGATATGAACAAGGTCAATACTGTGCTGTCCATAAGTGAATGTCAGGGTCGGCTGCACTGCGCTCGGAATAGTCTGCAAAATACCTAGGTAGATACACGAGTCTTGATTACTGAATGCTTCCCGATCCTAGTAGATGGGCGATCCTAGTAGATGGGTTGACCTGCCCAACGGCGATCCTGCATGCTCTTGAGCCTCGGAATCATCCTGGAGCTGTGGAAAGAGGAACGGTTGTTTGCTTGGGGCGCAAGGTGAAATCAGCACACCACATGTTGTGCTCTAGACTGATTGAAATGAATGTTTGATGAGCTTAATCATTTGTTGCTTTCCTTGATGCAAGCTTCAAGGTTCGCAGACGAATCCTCCCTGTCTGTCCGACTCGTTATTTTCTCCAGGTATGAATCCTCCGCCTTGACGCCCACGGGTATCTCGATAGTCAATGATGCTGAGAGCCTAAACCAGGCAGCCTATTTAATCTTGACAAAAGAATGAAATGTCAGGTCTTTGTTTACCCCTCTTGAGCGACTCACGTCAGCCCATTGATCCTCCAACGGTCTGGTCTTGCTTGTATGTGCAGATTTCAAGTCCCGTCCCGGTACTCGGAGCCCACCTCAGCGGACAGATCGGCGAGGTTGAAGAAAAGGTCGATGGCATCAAACCAAACCTCGAGCAGTGTGTCAAGGCATCGACCACAAACCTCGGTGAACGATTCAAAAAGTGAATGGGCACGATGAGCGGAGAGATTCGTGAGTCAATGCCTGACGTCGATAAACCCGTAAAAGCCATGAGCGAAAGTCTATACAATTCACTTTCAAACCTCGGCCGACAAATGGGCGAAATGAACGAGGAATCAAACAAATCCGTGGTGGATCTTGGTGACACGAAATGTAGGCAGGGAATCAAATTGAAAGCCCAGAGCAACGATTCAAGAAAGATATGCCTCGCCCAGTAAATGACATGGTGACTCGAGACGTGCAAGTGCCTCGAGACCCACCCAAGAGTCAAGGCATTAATTATTTGCAAACGACAACGCGAGCTACCTTTCAACCACACAATCTACACAATCTTTCAAATACGACATCAACAGCAAAGCAAAATGCCAAACACGACTTTAAAAGCATCGCGCAAGTCAGGCTTGCGCAAGCGCTCACGATCCAGTGACTCGGAGACTGAGCAACGCGTGCAACTCCAAGAGGCGCGCAGAACAGGCAGGGTGCAACCAGCCCAGGGACAAGGGAGTGATTTGGGCTCTGAGGAGATGGACTACGAGGTTCACGACGGAAGCGATGGCGACGACGATTTTGAGTTATCGGCCGCCAATGAAACCGAAGATGAAGAGGAAGACGAAGAAGACGACGACGATGGCGAGGCTGTCAAAAGCAACGCGGGAAAGTCCCGAGCCAAAGGCGGCTCTGCAGCCAAACGAGGCTTCAAGGCAGGTCGACTCGGTCACGGACAGGGCAATGCCAGCGATCCCAGCGACGACGACGAGAGCAGCGATTCTGACGGCGATTCTGATCCTAGCAATGACAGCAGTGAGGATTCAGACATTGATCTCATCGACAGCGGCAGTGAGATCGAGGCCAAGGCCAGAGTCAACGAGAGCCGCAAAAAGCTCGACAAGAAGACACACGAGCAAAGAATAACAGAAGGATTCAATGCTCTGGAGGACTACAAGGAGCTCCAAAAGATTGCCATGGATCAACCGGCCAAGTTGAAGCGGTCGTTTCAAAAGACCAAGGCGTGGCTAGAGAGGGCACAATCAAAGGGCGAGCTGATGCAGCTCATCCCTACGATTGAGACTTTCAAAACAAAAGGTTGGACAGATCAACTCGAGCAAGATTTCCTCGAGGCTTATGGGCAATCAGACGAGCTCAGACATGTCAAGACGCTCACCATTCCGGGAAGCAACACCAGCTTCCTGGCAATGTGGAGAAAGATCTCTAGGGTATGCAAAGTACTACCCACCGACATTATTGCACGTGTACACCACTTGCAGTATGGTGCAACGAAACAGATTCGGCGCCAAAACAGAAAGGGAAAGCAAGTCGGAGTTGCATTTGCAGATCCAATCTGGACGGGAAGATTCTGTGATCACCTGGTGGTCCTGGCTCTTGGCGGCCCATGGATGGGCAATATGAAGCTTCTATCATGCATGATTGCATATGTCAAGGCTTGTCAGATTGACGACCGCCGCAGTCTTTCATGGAAACACGGCACGACATGCCTCTTTATGAAGATGATGCAGACTTGGCTTGCAGAGGGCAATCGTGGTAGATCGATCCCACAGTTGCACAAGGAGGTACGAAAAGAGATCCTTGCTCATGGAGATAGTCTCCCTGCATATTCCTCCTTGTTGCGCAAGATTGAGAAGCACTTTTTTGTGCCTCATGCAGAGTCAAATGGTAACAACGACACTCGTGTCTCGTATTACCATGTCGAGACTACAGATCTCGGTGAATTGATCAAGGTGATTCGTTCAGTCAGAGATGCAGGGCACCCTCATTGGCCTTCTCTGAATGAGGCTGCAAAGATTGCATCCACTGCTCGGGCAAAGCAGGATCCTCCAAAGAATGTAGAGGAGTTTCGCAAGCTCTACAAGGAGAGTCGACTGGCAGATCTCAGAGCCGAATGGTTGAGGGATCATCCTGTAACCAACCTTTCACCCGATGTTGCATCAGAGGCGGATACGGACGCAGGAGATCCGGCAACATCACCCGATCCCTTTGACGATGACTAGGTCGGACAATTTATGGCGACAATCCCGACCAAGAAGGGGTGACAGCGAGGGATACTGGGATTTGAACCTCCAATACGACTTTCTCGAGGATGACTCCATCAGTGGAGAGTCTAGAAGCCCTGACAGAACCGGATGGGTACGGGAGATTCCCGTCCACTCGAGGGGCATTTGAGTTGTGGGATTATGGACCTTTGGAAGGAAACATTTGATTTAATGGATAGAGACAAGGGATTATGAAAACTGGCCAGCAAGCATAAGGGAGAAGACGCGGCCATGTCGAGTGTCGAGTAAAATTAATACAAATACCGAATCACCATTGCATTGTCAAGCATATTGAAATTGTCGTGTTTTACTACGCACCACGTATCGTTGAAAGGAAAAGTAAGGAGTCTTGATTTGAGGAAATAGTTTTCTCACTACACTATGCCAACAAGTCCACTGACCCGTGTTGCTAGGATAGTTCCGGGTCCTTGACACGGTAATCAAATGTCTGCTTCTTACGTTGTGCTTCACCAGCCCAACTCAACGTCATGTCTCCATTCCCTTGTCCATTATGAGCAATGACTGTGCTGAAAGTATACCTGGTCACATTGGCCGGATTCCAATCAAGAATACTTGAAATCATTCCGCTTTACCAAGAACAGATGCAGAGGGAGTTGCAACAAGTACAGCAAATCAAAGCTGATGATCATTTCAGTGAAGCTGAATTAATACCGTTGCGCATGCCTCCATGACCTCGGCGTATAATTGCTCCAAGGCTGGGTACTCGAATATTCAAGAAACCACTGGCAATTTGGTTTTATTCATTCCGAGGCTCCCAGGCGACATTCCAGCTTTCTGAACCTCACTCTTTTGCTGGAAGCACCCTTGGTGTGCAAGACGTATAGTCTTGCACCCGAGATCCACGCCATCGATACCTATATAAGCATCATTTGAAGCAGTTGCATTTATCAGGATTGGCATTACGCGAAGAGTTCTCCATGGCAATCCGCGCCGCCTCGGTCCTCGTGACAGCCATCAGCCAGGAAACTGCTTCTACAGTACTCAATTGCTGTGAGTCTGCAAGACCGTACTTTTGGATGTGCTTGTGAATTGATTGCATCTTGCCACGCTCGTGACGCTTCGTCAACGTGTATGGCCGCTGGCCTCTTTGCTGGTCGCCATGAGCTCGTTCCACTGTGGTCGCTGATCAGGGCCCACGTTGCTTAGAGGAGCTCTTTGTCTTTGCTTGGGCGCGCGTCGATCAATGCCATGCTTTCGGATTCATTCTCTTTTTCGCTACGTCTCTGGGTGTTGGCCAAGTCCGATGCAAGACTGAGTTTGAAGTTGGTGCTTCTGAAGATTGTTGGCTTTTGCTTTTAGATGAATTCTATGCATTATTCTCTTCCAGCTACTTCGTTAGACTTTCAGTTGCGTGCAAGAGTTGATTGCTAGCTTGAGAGGCAGCATAGAGATTTGTTGCTTCCGAGACGGTCTGAGCTTTGCCGCGTGACTCTTGCAAGGGCCTCGGCAGTCTATTCCAGCCTCTTCGAGCCTTGAGTGACTGATATACTCCATTCGGGCGCAGACGTGAATGATGCTATCGTGATGCCTGTGAGCCTTTCGCAGAGCTCCGAGAGGTTTGACTGATATGCCGCGTTTAAACCACAATCATGAAGAAAGGAGCGTGTGAAGAAATGGACAAGAATTCCCGAAATATTGAAAGTGTTCCGAGGACGAATCGAAATCGTGGTCAGATGTTACGGGACAAGGTAAGAGCATATCGTCGCGGTGGTGCAACGACCTCGATTATAACAGCCGGTGCTTGTTACCTGGCTCTGGAGGGGCGTATGCTCACTGAGTAGACCCCAACTCGGAGCTCATGGCTGAATCCCTCCATCACTGTGGCCCACTGTAGGCCACTCACCGACTTGAGCAGACAACGCTCATCTTTTCAGACACGATGCAACAATCAAAGTCTTCAAAACAATACAAAATGACTTTCTCGGTAACAACACGGGTTGGTAAGCATCTGATTGTACAATCCATGGCTTAATTTACTGACTTGTAACTCTAGAAGTCCTCTGTTCGGAGCGTGCCACCGTCGACCATCTGTTTGAATGTCCAGGTGTTGCGTCCGCTAAAGTCAAGGCGATCAGGTCATTGTCGAGGAAATCCAAGGCTCTCACATTTTTGCTGGCCTCGAAAGCCCCGTCTCCTTGTTTTTTCACCTCTCGTGCGCCCTATGCCAAGGAAAAGGTTACCGGTTCAAAGATGCGTCGGTCTACCAAACAAATGCACGGTATTATACCTGGTTATCCAGCAGGAACCTCGGATATTCATCCGATAACGATCCCGCGTTCCCAAGGACACAGACAAAGCACCCATGTCATTGGCGGGAAACTGTGAGTTCCAAATGTTCCTTTCAGCCCGAAGCATCCTGATTTTCCAAGGACCTCTTGTGCGCCCTAGGCAGAGGCAAAGATTGTCGTCTCGAGGATTGTGTCCGCCAGACAGAACACTGGTGCAACGTACCCGGTTCTGTCCCAAGGTAACCTGGTTAATCGGCATGCAATACACGCGACTCTTCAACAACTGCCCCGGGGTCACGGGAAAGCACCCATGTCATTGGATAATGGGGAAAGGATCTGAGATCTGAGACCTTGACAGCACTAGATCATTTGTTTTATACCTGCAGTCCAATAGAATGACAGGGAAAATGCCAGAGAGAAGAGGGACGAAAGAGAGAGACAAAGGAAGATATCATGGGATAGAAAATGGTATATTTTACTCTAAACTATTCCCCAAGGTCACAGGCATGTACTTCTTTGTTATAAGGCCGGGCTCGTAGTCAAGCGACAAGCTCATGTCCGCCAAAGACTTTTGTACGACTCGAATACCTTTATGGAGCTGCCCCCATGCCCATCAGGCGAGCGTCTCCTGTAGGGCATCTGGTCATGAATTAACCATGACACGGACGTGTTCTGTCATCTGACTATTATAGATGTGGGGTTCCATCAGCTGACATCCGGTGTATTGCTGGGTTTTGGTCACTCAAGTGGTAGTCCTGAACTGCCCAGAGACTCATACCTTTTGAAGAAACTATTTCAGTTTCAGACCAGTCTTGATGTGTACTGGCTAAGCGGCACACCATACAAAATCTTGTACTAAAGGAAGAGTACAAAAGATTGGGTGCATCCACGACTGAAGAGTACACGTGTACTGGCTAAGCGCACCACCATACAAAATCTTGTACTAAAGGAAGAGTACAAAAGATTGGGTGCATCCACGACTCAAGAGTACACGTGTACTGGCTAAGCGCACCACTATATAAATTCTTGTACTGGCAAGAGTACTTGGAGCGTCATACATCTTCTGCAATATTGCCGTCATCGTGGGTGTGATCATTGACATGGTTGTTGGCATGGTTGCTGTTTGAGAATCCACAGTCTCAACAAGGGCTTTGACATTTCCATTGAGACTATAGACGCGTGTGCAGGATTGCACTGCAGGTTTATATGATTCCATTTGGGAAGAGCGTTGACCAGTCAGACGGGTTCTACCATCAACGCATCGACCTTGTCTGGCAATGGGTTGATTCTATCTGATATTTTCCCATCCAAGAGAGGTATACGTCCATGGAGGGCGACAAGCCATCGCTCGCAAGCCGCCAGAAATGGTTTCACTCGTTCATGGACACTGCCTCGCCGGAGAAGCATTTATTGATGCGTGTGGTCTGTCCTCTGGCAAGATTGTTGACTAGACGGTCGCGGTTGAAGCTATCCACGATTCGATTCTGCCCATCGATGAGTCAGTCTCATTCTCCATGATACTTGGTCAATTTACCAAAGGTGTCGATTCATAAAGTCAGAATCTTCTGTAGACAGGTTTCCAGCAACAGTTGAAACTTGTTCGTGGACATTGCGGCGTCGAAAAGTCCCCACGGATCATCTTCACGGGAAGCATTGGACCCGGCAGTTTTCCAATGAGCAGTCTGACTCGTGCAGCTCCTCAACGACGCCAAAGACAATCTGATAGTCCTCAAGTCCGCCTTGAAAGTTGACACGAGAGCGTCCATGGCTGAACCACGATTACCAAGCAGCCACTCCGGAACTGCCCAGACATCCAGTCATGGAGCAGGATGAGCAAGTTGCCAGCACCTATTCTCTCTTGGTCATGATTTCTGCCACCTTGGGGCGGTCTATGTGAATAATCCTCCATGTGAGGCACCACAATGCATCAGCAATGTTTACAAAGGTCACGCGGCTGCGGCTGCGGGTTGCCAGCATCCATTTCACTTGTTCATGGACATGACCACGCTGGAACTGACTCTGTAGATGGGACCCACGGCATTGTCGACGCGTTAAAAGACCAGTAGAACATGTTTGGCCCTCCCGTGGACATGGCAGCCAGGAATGTTGACAATGGGAGTATTAAAGAAGCATCCAACCACGCCAGGCATGGCTACAGGTGATCCCAACTTGCAGGCCGGACCAGTAACACCTTGTGCGAAAGAATGTCAGGCATTGCTTAGAAAACTACTAAAGAACTGTTCTACGGGACGGGAAAGCTCTTTCTTTATACAGCGACAGTTGTGTATCCTCTAGCCACCCGAATTGCAACACCTTGATAGCACGTTACAAGCCAGAACTGGATGCGTCGTTTCCCAAGTCCCGATGTTGCTCTCACGTGGAGTATGGACTGTTCAAACGCCATGAAGAAGGGCTGATAAGAATAAAGTTCCACGTTTGTATTCTTCCGTCAATGCCAGCGTCAGTCTGATCGCTGGTACCAGCATGGAAAAACGCTCGATATGTTGCATCAGACACAGGCCAGCATATCATACCAGCTCCCGAGGCCATCTACCGTGATCCGACTGTCAAAGCTATCTGTGAATCAAGGAGATTTCCGTGCAAGCTTGGCGTAAAGCAGGATTCCAGATATACTATCGTCATGACTGTCGATGGCAGTGGTGGAACTTTATGACAATCCGCTATAGTTGTCGAGTTCAAGAGCTCTGG